AGCAGGCCTTGGGTATAGGCGTATAAAGATCAAAGTTAGTAAAATATGGTACAGGTGAGTTTAGGGCTGTCAATTTGGTTTGGTTAACCAAACCATTAAGTATGAAAAACCAAAAACCAAATCCCAAAAATCAAAACCATTAAGGTCCTTATTGGTTTTTTGCAAAAAACCAATAAGGACCTTAATGGTTTTGGTTTTGGTTTGGATAACCAAAAAACCAACATGTACTCATACACTCATATTTATTCCTATTTCCCTCCTTTTTATTGAATAAACGTCATAATAATGGTAAATGGCCATAACAAATTATTGGTTGGCATGCATGTCAAGAGAAACAAAAAAATAATTTGTTGATAAATAATTTTATTCTTATTGGTTTCTTAATGGTTTCTATTGGTTTTTCGGTTTTAACCAAACAAAAACCATTAAGTTGCTTATTGGTTTAAAACCAAAAAACTGAAACCATTAGCTTTCCAATTGGTTTGGTTTCGGTTAAAACCAAAAAACCAAAACCAAATGGACAGCCCTAGGTGAGTTACATATAAAATAATACGTATGAATATTTTATTTCATATCTAAACTAATTATATGTTTAATAGTTATAAAATAGATTATTTTAAAAATAAATAAATAATAATTAAGTCAACAATTTAATTCATTAAATAAGAATATTATACTTGTTATACCGGTTTCTCTACGTGTTTAGTACCGTAACCATCAAATGAAGGAGATGAAATAAAATAGTTTGACAATATTACGAATGCTAAAATTTAAAACGAATAAAATACGTACGATCGTAATACGCATATTAAATGTAGTATTTACTAAGCTGAATACTGACAGCAGCATGAGTACTTACAGGCCTGACTTCTGCAGAATGGGCTTCTGCATTTCAGGTGTGTCACCTTTGCTGTGGCCCAACAATTTCCAGCCCACAACAGTTTTGGTGGCTTAACATCCTACAATGATAGTAATCTAACTAGCTTATTACCCGGCCCGTTGGCCGGATTACTGTATGTTACCCACTTGAGGAATGGGAGAGAAAGCAAGTGAGAGTGAAGGGATTGGGATTCCACTTGATTAGGACCGGCCCACTAATCCAATTCTTCCCGACCCGCCCCAACCTAAAGGGTCAGAAAGAGCGAATAAGAAAATACGAAAGGAGAGAATTAGTAATATATCTTGACTCTTCAGAAGTGGGTCAAACAGGATAAATGTTGGGTGAGGGCAATTTTTAGCGCTAAGCAGAGTTCTGGGTTGAATAACTTTACTTAGGCCTAGAAATTGGTGCTGATGCAGACTGCAGTTTTTATCATACCATCATCAATCATCATTGAATTAGTCCTGGGCATCCCTCCCCGTTGTCGGTCTGAATTTTAATGATGGCTTCATTCCTTGCACCAGCCATATCAGCAAGTTGTCATCTCGAGCATGATTTGCCTATGTACAAATGATACAATTAGAGTATGAAAATGAATTCAAAGAAAAGGAAAAGAGAATTCTATCACATGCCAATAAATACACACATAATAGTTGAAGCTAAGTGAAAGTCATTACTCGCACATCAATTTTCAAAAATTACAGACTAAACAATGGCTAGAATGGCACTGAAACTACCAAGAATCATGGACGAAACAACTTGTCAAATTAAATAATCCTTATACTGAAACTACCTTCTAACTTGAAATAAGACATGATCACAGTTCATAGCACTCTTATCACTATGAATTGGTTGCAGCTCGTCCTTATAACTACCTCCCAAGCTCAATTCAAACAGAATAGACACAGTTATGTAAGATAACCATATCCTTACTGATCATAATTCCTTTCTTCACTCCATTTTTGTCGGAGAAAAGAGTTATCCCCCTCTCATGCATTTCCCTTTCCCCCTCTCTTCTCCCTCTTCTTCACAAACCGATCCCTAAACCAGCAACAACAACACAAAATAGCCTTCGCCTCTGCCATCTCCATCTACTGAACGCGTTGGTGGCAAGACAGGATTGCAGAAGCAAAATTTTCTAAAATCAAACTAAATTTTTTGAAGGAGACTCAACCACGAAAAAAGAGTAAAGCAACAATGCTAATAGTTCAGATGGTTGGTTTTGATGTTATACGTTGCTTTTGTTATGGTCTCCAGTGTATCAACTGCAACAGAGATGTTTCCTCCAATCATCTTTAGTGCACGATTTAGAAGTAAGTCCTCTTGTTTGTGTCAAACGGAAACATTCATGGGTTCTTAACTCCCCTATTAGTATAAATGCATCAGCAGCAAAGAAGTTTGACAACACAGCAAGCACCCAGGCAAAATGATACAATGCAGTAGGTGATATGTGTCTCAAAGGTTTTGAGTTACTAAAGTTCATGTTAAAAATAAACATGAATTAAAATGGATTATTCTATTAAGCAAACATCCCCTCTAATCATACAAAGATCAGATATCTAATTCACAAACAATTAAGCCATAAAAAATCATCACAAATCCACCACCTTTGATTGCCTATATTTGGTTTTTCGCAAAGTTGTGGACTCTTAAGGGTAAAGTTCATGGGTAGTCTGTTTCATAACTCTAGAGAGCACAGTAAGCAGCCACCAACCAGACACAGTGCGGTAGGCGAATATGATTCTCAATTCACAATTTCTCACCACCGGAAGTAAGAACAGAACATAATAAGCGTAGCGTTCATGGGTGGTCTGTTTCATAGCACTACTACACAATTTGTTAAAAAAGAAAGAAAGGTATTTAGCATCACGGCGGAACAACTTTTACAGGCCAACAACGACAACATGCTGCAACCACCAGAACTGGTATCACAACTCATAGGGAAAGTCAAAAGATTTACTCTTAAATTAAGTAGTTACAACATCGAGCAATCGTCAAGCACATACACCATCACAAAAGTCACAGAACCTGATTCACAAAGCATTCAAACATTTGAGGACATTTCTGCAAAGATACAACTTATATGTCTTTTTTCCAAGCCATTTCCATCAACATGCTAATAAATTTGCAATGCATAAAACAAATGGGCCAAAACTTGAAATTCAACCTGTTTGACCGACCCATGCCAAATTCTAATTATTCTTTACTTTTAAACTTTCTATTTGAAAATAAAAAAATAGTGAAAGAAAAAAGACGACTACAATTCGCCATTTGCACATCACTTATTCGGGAATAAAACCATATAAATTCAAAAGGAACTGAAAATGTTGAGGATCGTTTTAATGTTTAAAATAATCAAATAGATTTTTATGTTTAGTTTTTTACTAACAAATACCAAACGATTCCCTATAAAATACACTATAATTTGATCATTATGATGTCAAATAATTATAAAATATATATTTGAAATGATAAAAATTGGACTAATTAGGTTGGTCGAGGTTGAACCATTGAAAAACTTTAAAATACATTATATTTTAGCCACTAAGATATAAAATAATAGCATAATATATATTATGCCAGAGAAAATAGATTGTTTTAGAATGGCAAACCCATGATGTTCATTTGTTTTACTTGATGACCAAATCCCATGTAGGTCAGGCCCATTCAACTCTTTTATTTTATGGTTAGCGGTTAGCCCATTAGATACCATGCATTAGTCTATTGTTAAATTTTTTATTTTTACAATAAAAAGGAGTATTATTTTTGCCTTTTCATATATATTTTATCACCACGGATAAATAAAAGGGTATAAAGAAAAAAATTGACACTCCTTGACTCGTTTAAATCCGCATGTGTACGGTAAGTTGGCCCGTTCCATAGAGGAAAGAGAAAAAATTGACACTCCCTATTTTACCCTTCCTACAAACGCTCATGGAACAGGGAATTTGAAATGGGGGAAGAGTTTTTTCCACCCTGCTATTATATGTTTTTAATTTAAAAGGATACAACAAATGTACTTAGTGTGATTGGTTATGATTTTTCCTTTCTTTAAAATGGTCATGGTTCGAATCCCAGTACACACCTTTTTAATGAATAAAAAAAAGTAATTGTGAAGACCAAAATGTCCTTCCTACTTTCACTCTCGTTGCAGGAAATTTGAAATGGGGCTCCCGTTTTTCCCTTCGGTGTATTATATTATGTGTAGATGACACAAAAAAAAAAAAAAAATAGATCTTACAACGTCAACATAGAATTTGCAATAAACAAATGTCATACCTGTATTCGTTGGGTTTGGTTGGTCACTGTCACGAGATTCCCTCTCTTTCGCCCCGCAACTTGACTCTTCTTTCCTCGCAAAAGCAAAACATACATTACTTAGCTTGCATGCATGAGTAATGCCCAATTCTAGGAGTGGCTATACGTTCGGTTCGGTTGAATTGGTCCAAATTGATCGGTTCCAGTTTGGTCTTTTTGAAAATATAAGAATCAAATATTGGATTGGATACAGTTCGGTCTTGATCTGATCCGGTTTTGACACGGTCCGGTCCCAATTCGGTCTTGATTTTATATTAAGCTTGTGGGGATTTGAGTGGCCTAAGGCCTGAAAAGGTGAGGAGTTGGTTAAGTTTTGTACTAAGTGCAAAGGTTTGTGACCGTTTATGCAAAATTACCCTTAAGTTTTGGGTGTTAAGCTCTCTTATCCGGTCTTTATCCAGTTTTCGATCCGGTCCCGAACGGTTTTTTTTTATCTCAAATCTAAGCTCAAAGATTGGATTGGATTGGATTGTTTACTATCCGATCCCGATCTGGTCTCGGTCAGAGTTATATGATCCGGTTCTGGGTAAAACCAAAAAATCCGGACCAAATAGCCAGCCCTACCCAATTCCCAACCAAAAGGTATATATCCATCGACGCACTGAATTAGTTAGTTGGTGCACATTATGATACCCACAAAAAAGCAAAGCCTAAAGTACGTAGTTGCATAAATAGAGCAACGATATGAACTCAATAAATGCACACGAGCAAACCAACTACCCAAACAAAAGCAGGGAGATCCATCGAGAGAGCAAGTTGACAAATCAAACAATATAAAAGATAGAGGTCTCTGGCTTTGCTAGAGCACACCCATAATGTGCAAGAAAAGGGAAACCAAACTCTATACAAAGAAGATGATGACGAACAAGGTTTGGACCATCGGGTTGGCTGTCATCTCGACCTTAGCACTCTTTGGCAGCAAGCCGATAATGGGGCAGCGGCTCCCTCTGCCACAGGTGCAAGACGCACAGGTGCCTTGTTTCTTCATCTTCGGCGACTCCTTGGTCGACAATGGCAACAACAACGGCATGCTCACCCTCGCCAGGGCTAACTATCGACCCTACGGCATTGATTTCCCCTTGGGCGCCACCGGCCGCTTCACCAACGGTCAAACTTACGTTGACGCTCTCGGTAAGTAAGTCAAAAATCGCGATTTAAAAGTTAAAAAGTTTACGTTTTTAAGTCCAAAAAATATACTTCTACCTAGAATCTTAATTTTTCATCGCGATTTAAAGCTCAAAAACTTGTGTGCTTAGCTTCTTGGTCATCAAAATACTTCTACGTAGAATTGAATTGCGCTTTTGATTGCATTGTGTGTCTACATAATAGCTCGGCTGCTAGGGTTTCAAAACTTCATCCCGCCGTTCGCCAGAGCTAGAGCGCCGCGGGAAGTGCTGAGGGGAGTCAACTTCGCTTCCGGGGCTGCCGGCATCAGGGAAGAAACCGGTAACAATTTGGTACGTATAAACCTTTTTTTTTTACGTTATTATATTTATATGCGAAATGATTGAAGATTATAAAACCGTATTAGAGGTATTGAGCAGTAAAATGCTGAAATTATGATTTAATCGTGGTTTAACCGTTTTATACCGTTAGAAATCGCCTATCAATTTCGACTATGGTAGAAGGTTTATTCGGTCGGGCTGTCGAGACGATAAGGTTTCACAAATACACTATTTATGCAGGGAAATCATGCGTCGATGAACCAACAACTGAACAACTTCGGGAGCGTGGTGCAAGTGATGCTGAGGTATTTCAGAGGCGACACTTCTCTGCTGAATTCCTACCTGGGCCGGTGCATCTTCTTCTCCGGCATGGGAAGCAACGACTATCTCAACAACTACTTCATGTCCAATTTCTACACCACCGGCTCCGATTACACCCCCGAGGCCTTTGCTTCCCTCCTCCTTCAAGACTACGCCAACCAACTCGCCGTACGTAAATTATTAAGCTAATTAAACCTTAATTACTTATTAGGTCTGAAATTGGGTCTGACTCGTTCGTGATCATATGTAAAAATCTTGTCTGAACCATCTTGTAGGGTTAATTTAACTGTCCCATCATTCGCGCTTGTTTTCTTCTCGATCATGTCTGACCCTTTAGAGTCGGGATGGATCGGGTTCAGTCAATGGATAGGCCTCAAATCAACACACCGATTCATCACTAGTTATTGATATGGGTTATAGGGTCAAAAGCGACTCGATACTAAGTTGACTCAATATGTAACCTTTACATGGTCAAAATATGACCCGACCCTACTCTTACCCCTGTAAACAAACTGATCCAGACTCGGAAATTGGAACGGATAAGTGGGTATTTAGTGCCAAGCTTACAACCCTATCTTTTAGTATACGCCCATTTCATTTCCATATACCATCAAAATCACCTTAGAATGATTTATCGGAGTCGGACAATGCAGAAGTTGCACACGATGGGTGCCAGGAAGGTGATAGTGACGTCGGTAGGGCAAATCGGGTGCATACCTTACCAACTCGCCAGGTACACCAACAACAACAACACCAAGAACAGCCGATGCAACGAGAAGATAAACGACGCCGTTTCCATGTTCAACTCCGGTCTCAAGCGGCTGGTCCAGCGCTTCAACGCCGGCGGCACGGAGCTTCCCGGAGCCAAGTTCGTTTACCTCGACTTCTACAAGAGCACCAGCGACTTGTATCTCAACTCCTCTCAATACGGTAGTTTTCATTATCACAAACTTTACCCTTCTTTTTTACGTTTTGGTACCCATTTTTTTAAGTGGAAGTTTGCTGATTTTGATTGAAACTTATGTACGTACGTGTAGGGTTTGAGGTGATAGACAAAGGTTGTTGTGGGGTTGGGAGGAACAACGGGCAAATCACATGCTTGCCGTCGCAGCAGCCGTGCCAAGACCGCCGGAAGTACCTGTTTTGGGATGCATTCCATCCGACGGAGCTAGCGAATGTGTTGCTGGCGCAGTCGTCTTTTTCGAATCAAACCTTCACTTATCCCGTCAATATTCAACAACTGGCTATGGCTTGAGAAAGATAATTAATTATGATTAGTTTGGTCGATATGTGATTTCTTAGGCTGTATGTGTGGTGGATGGATTTGGTATTTTGCATGTATGCATGCATGCAGAAAAAACCCACTTAATTGTAATAATAAAAAGTTGACCTGTCACTCATAAATAAATAAAAATTGGAAGAACTTTTCAACACTGAAGCTGCATGTGATAGTATAGTCTCATTCGTGAATGAAATTATAGGCTGGTGAAAACATTCATCATGTGAGAGGAAACATACATCTTTTTCTAACTTAGACACTATCAAAAAGGTGATGATTAAAAAGTGGAACAAGGAATATACTTTGGGAGAGTTAATTAGGAGAGTATGTTTATGGTGATTTTCACCGGGACTTGGAGAAAACATTCAACCGTTTCTGGTAACTGGTCAACCTTTTTTAGAAACTGGTCTAGTACTACTGTATCTAGGAAAACAATCGACCGCATCAGACAAAGTGTACGTCAACCTCTTTAATAAGCGGCCGACCGGATGACACACTTACATTTAACTAACACCTGCTTTTTGAAAGTGTTAGACCATTTTCGGCAAATGGTTTACCACTTTTGAAGAACGATCGACCAGATGACACAGTTCCCTTCTACTTATATCAGGAAAATAATGGACAATAGGAGGCCTACAGTATAAATGGTTTTGTAGTAATACAACATCCTATCACACGTGAGCAACCAAATCTCTGTGAAGATTATAGGCCTAGACAATAAGAAATAAGACGTTCTTTGGTAGAACGCGCAAAAACAAGATGATAAGAGATTTATAGACATTGAAGATGACACAATTGTATGACAATATTCATACACACTTTTTAGTAGATTCATAACAACAATAGCAACAAAACTCTTCCATCACAAGATAACTATAGAATGATTCTCTCTCTTACTTTTTTTGAACTATTTGCTCTCCCTTCTCTCTAAAGGCCGACCTTTTCCCTTCTCATCAGGGCTGCCGCCGGTTTTCCTTTGGTGACCGGCGGTGGCCCAAGGTTTTTTCTTTTGCTGTTCTTTTCTATATTATGCTTGTCTTGCGTTTTTTCCCCAGCCCATGGTGGTTTTTTCCGGACCTTCATGGTCATTCTCCAAGTGGTTTTATCCACAATGTTCTTTCTAGTTTCTAGATCTCGTTTGGCTTTGCTCATTGGATCTGAAAACTGCAACTTAAAGTGCTTCTAATGGTGTGTTGTTTTTGGGGGTTCTACTCTTTGTTGGTGTGCTCATCTCTTCTGTTGAGCAGATTCACTGTTCCTCCCTTCCTTCTGTCACTGGTTTTATTGAAGATGTTCTGTCGACTGAAGTAGGGGGTGTGGTGTCATTTTCGGGGTCGTTGGCTTTGTTGCTCTGGCTTTCTCGAGATGGTGAAGTTGATTCTTCATTTTCCCGGTTCCTGGTCATCCTAGCCCCCGGCTTCCTTGGCCTTTTCAGCTCAGAGCATCCCGGTTTCAGCCTGCCCACCGCCGAGTAATCCCTTCCATGAGATTCACTGTGATGGGTCGTCTCTGAACGATCCCCAGGTGGCGGCTTATGGCATTGCAATGTTCAATAGCCATGGGCTTGTCTGGTTTCGGGTGAGTTGGAACCTTGCTTGTGTCGTGCTGAATGTTGTGGAAGCAAGGGGTTCTGGGTTCTCAATGTTAGCATCCTGTTGTGGAGATTCTTTTGTTGGAGATCAATCTATTTCCTTTTCATTTTCTGGCCTTCTCTTTTGATTTAGATTACTTTGACATTTGGCTCCATTGTTGCTCTGTTTCCTGCTCTCATTGTAGTTCCCACCCCTTGTAACCGTGACTCTCATTGCAATACAAGTGCTCCTCTTGTCAAAAAAAAAAAAAAAAAGATAACTATAGAATAAAAAGTAAGCAAACTTAGAAATTTAAGGATAGATGAAAATCTCTATAAAGTAAGTCAAATCTAAGAAACAAATGTGTAGAACATTCTTCAAATCTACGACAGAACAATCACCCAAGAAACTTTGCATCCATACTTCAACCTTTATACTATCTTCAATTCTCTTACCAACAAGCATATCTATTAATATTGGATGTCTCTAATTAAATATGTTGATTTCACTAGTCGTGGTTAATCGGGTTGACCAGTTGTTCGTAGTGGTCAATCACTCCATAGAAGCGATAAACCATTTTCTTCAAATCATGATGATTTCTTAGTCATCGGAACAAAATCCTAAAATTATATCGTCATTTTAAATTATTATTACCTACCTTAAACTACAATAGATGTAATTAATTAATAGTACTACCACATTGGTCACTTACTATGCTGATGATGTATGGGCAGCAGACTGTATCTGCCCACTAATTTTATAGATCTTTGTTTGATCTCTTGGTTATAATAATAATAATAATATTATTATTATTATTTATTATTATTATTATTATTATTATTATTATTATTATTATTATGTAAGCCGTGCCCTCAAAAAACTCACTTTGAATATATTACTAACCCTTTTGACACCACGTTAACTCCAAAAATTGGAAGGACAATACAAAGAATATATGAAACACAAGAACTTAATTTGGTTAACAACAAATACTAAGCTAATTAACTAATCTCAAGTAGTAATACACACAAAGAACCTTGTGTTAGCCTTGAAATTAACATCAATGAATTACACGCAAAGTCCTTAAATTATTTGGCTACAATTCCTTGGATCGGACAAGGCCAAATGAGAACCAAGTTGTTGAAGAAAAAAAATTGGGAATGAAAAATTACACAAATAAACAAACCTGCATGCTGCTGAGAGATCGATCATCAAGACTAATTCGTAATCAACAATTGATCATAGCCTATGATCATCATCATCATCTGAATTTATGAGGCTAGGCTAATTATCAACTAATTAGCTAATTAGCTTAAGCTAAGCTAATATCATCATCATGGTGATCGTGCTGAAAACTCAGTTCGTGATCCTGATCCTCATCCTCCTTCATCAACGCTAAACTACGGCCGCTGTTATGATGATTATTATTACCATTACCATTGTTCTCCAACGCCAGCCTCGGCGGCCGCGGCGGCGACGATATCCCACCGTCCGGGTCATTCTGCTCCTCCACGTCACCACGAACCCGACCCGACCCTGCCACGTGTCCCGCCGCGGCAGCCCCACCCGTATCACTAATATGTCCGTACACCAGCACCACGATCCCCGCCACCGACGTCAGAAACGTCACGGCCAAGCTGGTGCTGATCTCCCCCGGGAGGGCGGCAGCCACCGTGAACCCGGCGAACGCCCCCGCCGCCCTCCACCACTCGAACCACGCCGCGAAAACCCCTTCCTTCCCCGGCGGCGAGCAGTCCGACAGCAGCACGCGCTGGAACGCGTGCATCAGCCCCGCCGACGTCCCCTGCACCGCCGCGAACGCCAGGACGACTCCGGTGCCCCAGATCCGGGCCCGGAAGTAGAACCCGAACCCGGATGTGATCAGCGCCATGATGAACCCTAACATGTGCATCTTCACGGCGTCGGCGCGGATCAGATACTGGACCAATTGAATCGCCGGGAGGGAAATTAGGGGGAAGATGAAGTAGATCAGCCAGGAACAGAGGATCAGCGGCGGCCGGATACAGAGGAATCCGGCGAAGTACAAATATCCGCTAGCGAAGATGCACATCGTGGTGAACGACGAGAGGAATGCCAAAATTAGGGTTCCGGAGGCGTGCGGGTAGTTGAAAATCGAGAGGGAGTGGGTCGCCGGAGACGGCCGGGCGACGATGTCGCCGGAGCCGGGCTTGATGAAGAAGACGTGGGAGATTCCGGCGGCCCACTTGAGGCCGCTGAAAATAGTGACGACCCAGAGGCTTAGCTCCTTCTCGTCCTTCCGGAGCATGTAGTAGGTGAAGGCGGTCATGACGGCGGAGCCCAGGGCGCCGCCGGCGGCGGCGTAGAGGGAGAGCCAGCTGGAGACCCAGCGGCGGAGGGTGAATCGGGACCTGTGGAGGTTCGGGCCCGTGAAGCCCCGCACCATCATGGCGTGGTGGCGCGTGTGGGTGGCGGCGGCGATCGTGCTCGCCGCCACGATGGCGATGATGAACGGCGGGAAGATCCAGGTGACGTTGAAGAACCCCGTCGGGAGGCAGAAGAAGAATCCGGTGGCGATGGCGGTCCCGGCTATGATGGGCTGGAAGTTTCCGTAGTCCAGGCTTGTGGATATCGTCCAGAGTATTGGGCCCGCCAGGCCCAAGCCCATTCCCCATGAGAAGGAGGTCCATTCTAGCGCGGAGATTTTGGAGGTCCCGAATTCCACGTTCTTGTTCACCAGCGCTTCATATCTGCCAAAACGATCACCATTAGTTCATAGTTCATATACATTCTAATAAGTCGAGCTATGAGAAGAATGTTAGTTATAGATCTTAGGAGTCATTCAGATGGATCAATTCAGAAACGAGACAATTTTGTCAAATTATCTTGTTTTATTAAATGAGTCAATTAAAACGAGTCAAATTACCTGCCACACGTCCAAACTATTGGAATTGACTCAAAAGTCAAAATGGATTAATTTGAAATCCCACAAGCCAAAACGATCCATCCGAATTTTCCAACTGACAAACGAGTCAATTAGTCTCCAATTGTCTCAAAACGAGTCAATCTAATCAAAATTGATCAGTTACACTTTCTCATCCAAACGACCCCTTTATAATATCTCTCTCACACATCCTCTCACCTTGAAAATTCGTCACAAACTCATAATTATCTTTTATCCTATGCTTCAATCAAATGATGTTAAAACATCGAGAATTGTGCGTGTGGAGACTTGCGAGCGCGCCCACGAAGACTACTTGACGACAAAACCAACACGTCACAAATCCTTCGATCCAGAGCACAATAACTCGAGTTGTTACTGGAAGAAGATTTAATTAATTACGGATCTTATATCAGTCTCTTACGCGATTTCGACGCGACAGGGGAGGACGACTTACAGTTGGGATTCTTCGGGGCGGCAGGAGAGGCCGAGGGGGCTGGTGAGCCAGCCGCGGTCGGGCTCGGCGGGGAGGCGGTGGATCTGGCTGATCATGAGCGGGAAGACGATGGGGAGGAGGCAGGAGTGGATGAAGTAGGAGCAGAGCTCGTAGAGATACCACATCCACACCTCCATCTTCGGAGGCCGGTCCACGACGTCGGAGTAGCCGGCGTAGGCCTCTCTGGCTCGCTCCAGCTTCATCCCGGTGTCGTGGAGGTCCGGCGTGGAGAAGGATTCGATGCTGCCGCCGCCGCCGTGGTGGTGGTGGTGGTCTTTGTTGGTGCTGGGGATGGCTCCGTCGTCGTCGTCGCTGGTGAAGGAGATGGATCTTGTTGTATTGTTGTTGTTGTTGTTCTCGATCTCCGGTGGGACTCTCCTACTACTTCCCTCCGCCATGGATATCCTCCGGCGTGGAGTCTCGCCGGCGGTCGGATTGAGGGTGGGGGAGAGAAATGAGGAGGGGAGGGAAGATGGGGATTAGTGAAGACTGAAGAGGTTAAATTGGGATTAATTAAGTTAAATGAAAGAAGGTTGGCCATCGTGGATTTGTCCGAAGGGCAGCGGAGTGAACGAGATGAGTATCCTGTAATGACAGTTAAGCAAATACTAATTGCCCATCAAACTTGTTATTAACAGGTTTTTTTGGTTCTTGCTTGTTAAGAAGCATAAGGAATTATGATAACAATGGAAAGAATGTTTAGATCTATTAATCCTTCATTTCCTTCTACATTAATTACTTTGGAGTGTATATATACACAAATTGTGTTAAAGGAATGTGTTTGGTTTTCAACCCATCAAATTGTATTATTATGTAGTGGTATTTCCGTCATTCACTTCTCTCAAACCCTAGCTAATTTGTGTTTCTTGTTCATGGCGAGTATATCTGTATATGTATTGTGTAAAGTGGATGCGGAAAAAACCTAATGAAAAGCTGAGATAGGCATAACTTCTCCAAAGAGTAATTAAGGTCATTCATATCGAATGAAAAGAACCACGTAAATTCGTCGTGTTGTGTGTTTTTCGTTTCTTATTTCATTATATATAGAGTACTTCGGAATAGGCTAATATTGAAAGAAACTACTTTTCAGTTGTGATCACAGATAACGGATGTAATTTTGATAATGTATTTGTGATATTATTGAAATGAAACTTGTATCAGTGGGATTTTCTTTGTAATGAATAGTATAAGCAGATCGTAAGACTTACATTCCCCCACCCCTAATTTATATGTTTTTAGATTACATACTTGTTTTCTGTAGAGAAACATCTCTTGTCCGATTTTCTGACTTCACTCGTTGTTGCTAGTTAGCTAGCTAGGATATAAAATATATGTCGGGTATATTTTTTCCCCCATTTTTGCCACCAGTTATTTCCTTTGTAAACTAGCCAAATTAATTGTTGGGTATATGACTCGGATCTCGCCGCGCCAAGGAAGCACCCCGTCACCACCGTCAGAAGAGTCGGGCGCGTTAGCACCGACGCGACCAAGGAAGCACCCCAGCGCCACTGCCAGAAAAGTCGGGCGCGTTAGCATCGACGCGACCGAAGCCGCACCCCGAACACCAAACGACGACGTTTGAGTCTAGCGTTGACTATATCAACAAACCATGGAAACGACACCGCGTTCCCCAATGAATGATCACCATCATAGTCCTAGGTATAATAATGGACTAAATGTACTTGTCCTAGGTAGAGGTGTGGTCTAGACCTCTGACATGTCAGTAGTCATGTCACTATGTAACTCACCCACCACCATGTAGCCTATAAATATGACATTTACTCTGGTGGGTGAGGGGATCGGATTTTTCAGACTCTATCTCTAGAAAGAACGAACTTCTCTCTCTAAAATATAACTCTCTCAATTTCATTCTTCCCTCCCTTTGTTCTTGAATCCACGGCTGATTCCCATTGCTTACTCTTCTCGACCCATTTTCCCGAACCTCACTCCTACACTCAGTTAGGTTCAAACATTAAGATATCATCCTACAAGACTTGGCTCATTATATATTGTTGAAAACACGTATATTCGGGGCGTTTCAGAGGACGGTAATAAAATTTACATTTAGGGTGGCTCCGCTCATGAGTAGTTTGACGCGAAAAAAACTCGTTCGACATTCAGCTCATTTACTTATAATTAATCCGATTTTGAGTTAAACTTTGTCATATTTGTCTCGTAAGGCTAATGAGTCGGATCGACTTGATGGTTTTTTTAGCTCAATTCATGAGCTATTGGACTAGCTATGAGTTTGCTAGACAGTATGAGTAGCGAGCCACCTTAACTAGCAACTTGTGAGCGAATTGGTAAATAGCTTATCATTATAATTCATATGTTTGTTAGATTATATATGTGATATTTATGGCATGTGATCAAATATGCCTTCCTTTAGAATTTAAAAGAGAAATTATGTACCACAGATTGCTTATACACTAATTACTATTACATGATATGAACCATTAAAATTTATGAACTAATTGATATGATATCATAGTTGGAACCAATCTCGCAATCTAATTGATTAGCTTAGCTCGTTAATGAACCAAGCTCGAGTCAAACACAAATCAAAATTTTAGTAAACAAATTAAACTAAAACTCTCAATTTATTTATTAACGAGTGAAGCTCAAAGTTTATCAAAACTCAACTCAGTTGACCTCATTTACAACATGTCGTGCATTTACAAGGACTTCATATTTCTATTAATTAACTTCTCTTAGCCTTGAATACATATGAAGCATTGTAAACATGGCTTACGCGGAAACTACATCATAATTACAATTTTGTCCTCCCTGAAAATGCATGGGTGGCATAACTAAGAATTTTTTTTCCCCGGTAATTATAACTAACTAACTAACTAAGAAATTAATCCCACGCTGTCGGCTTTCAACTAGACGTCTTGAGGAATAATGACAAAAGCTGGACTAAGCCGGCGATGGCGCATTGGCTCGTACGTACTAGCGCATTAGAAACGTACCAAAGAGGGGTATACACGTATGGAATAGTTCATATCTGTTACCCTATTCAAAAAAGTTCGGTAATGATGAATATGTTGATTTTTAGTTGGGATATTAATAACGGATCAAGTCGGGGGCGACGTTGATTTCCCTTTCAAGTTGGTGTAGAGTCCTTATGTGCCCTCAAAAATATGTTGCTTTCTCTAGATGGTCTCTTATGGAAAGATTTCTACTCTTGATAATTTGAAAAGAAGAGGTATGATTGTTATGAACTGGTGCTCCCTCTTTAACCGTTTTGAAGAGTCGATTACACATCTCTTCTTCTTCTTATTATCCATGGATAACTGTGGTTACCGCAAATGGACATAAGAAGATGGATAATAAGAAGAAATGTGAAATCGACTCTTCATCTCTCCTATCACACGTCAGTTCCTCTTAGCTTGGCGAGGGTTGGGGAGTGAGTGTGACTCACATTTTAGAGACTGCATCAAATTATTACCTCATGTGGTGTTTTGGTACATTTGAATGGAGAGAAACGATAGGACTTTTAGAGATGTTGAGACCTCCCCACAAGAAATCTGCAACAAGATTATTCACATGATTGGGTGGTGGCTGCGAGCGTTTAATCGTATCTCGGATATTCGCCATTGTCAGTGGATCGTGAAGGGGACAAATCACTCGATTTGGCATTAGTGTATTTCTTCTTCTTCTTCGGGTTTCGTTTCATTTCCCCCAAGCTGTTTTTTCTACTTTGAGCTGTAGTCTTTTGTCCTTTTTTTTCGTGTTTGGCTTTTGCCTTTTTTTTCCTTCTTTGTCTTCTCGTTTTTAGTTTTGTTTAATGTTTTGGGCTAATACCACTGGAAATACCATCCTTTAGCGAAAGTGTCATTTATATTACGTACTTTCAATAAACACAAAAATATTCCAACGTATTAAGGGTTTTTGTCATTTGTGTTACGCGAATTTTTGTTGACCGTTAGAATTGACGGTTGACCTGACGGTAGTCAACCTATGTTTGAATATTGCTTATGTGGCGCTTAGGTGTCACCCGCATATATGCCATGTAAGAAATTACTATTTAAAACTATTAATTTTATTTCAAACATAAATAAACTAATATTATTAACTTATTTTTAAAATTTTTTCTAAATACTCTTTCTCTATCTTTCTAAATTAATTCCTTAATAATTGAATAATTGATATTTTTATAGAAATCCTCAAGCTCCCTTTCGTCGTCTTCTTCCTCCACCGCATCATTGCCGTCGGAGATGGTCTTCCTCATCTTCGTTCTAATTAGCAACCTCATCTTGGATCTAGATTTGCTGCCAACAACGAGGGAGTGACCCCAATTCCCTCGTCTTTCTATCTTGAAATCCAAACCATATAGTGATATAGAGTTACAAAGAGAGAGCTAATATCACAAAGCAAACGATTTTCCAAATTGTTGATCTTCCAATCTCTGCAACTCGAAGAACCAGCGATGCATCAAGGATATTACGCTTCCTATTGCTAGTTCCCCCTTCCAAAACCCAAACCCAATTTCAATCCAAAAATTCCCAATACTATCAATCACTATCAGAGGGCGTCGGCGACTCCGTTCTCCCCCAGGTACTTTCCAACGATTACTCTGCCGCCTATTGAAGCAGAACCGTTGGCGAGAATCAGAAATGAGCTTCCTCTATCTGGAACCTCTGTCTCCTCTTCCTTGCCACCGCGAAATAGAGCAGCGGCGAAATCGTGATAAGCGCGAACACCGCCACAGATTTCCTCTTGTGGTGGTCTAGATCTATGCCAAGATGCGTTAAACAGACGTCGTGGAGCTCTACGGATTGGCCGAGATTCCAGGATCCATGATAGAGAGTGGAAATTGAAGGAAGGAGGGGAGTGGCGGACAATGAGGCGGTGGGAGTCACTGCGAGGATGTGGTGGCGGCGGGCAAAGGATGCGGAGAATTTGGGGGGGGAGATCAGAGGAGGATGTGGTGGTGTGGAGAGATCGAGAGAGATAGGGAATAAGGAGGAAGGTGTTTCCCTTTTCTATTTTTGATTTCTTTTTATTTTTTTATATTTATTTTTTGCTAAACTTTTCCATCTCAGCTGCCATGTCATCATAGACTCTATTTTCCATTAACCACTAACAGAAAACTTAATAGTTGGTATACAATTGTCATATCGAAAGTTATGTAATATAAATGACACTTTCGCTAAAGGTTGGTATTTCCAATGGTATTAGCCCTAATGTTTTCTAGGTCCTTTTTTTTGTTAGCATTTGTGCCAAAGTAAGTTTCTAATAAAGAATTCATCGTTCATAAAAATAAATAAATAATTAGTTCAGATTTTACCCATGTCTGCATAAGAATCGGGAAGAAAATCAAAATCATGTCCATAAACGTTCAGGTTTCGGGTATCCATAGTTATCCATGGATAATTATTTCTGTTTATAAGTCTAACCAACATTTTAACATTCACACGTATACTCACATTATATAAGTGAAAAAGTACGGGGAAAATCACTAGAATGAAAAAAAAATAATTAAAAACAACACACTTTCAAGAAAGATTATCTTTGTATGCTAAATATCAAATATGTTTAGGTAAATAGTAATCATTTCAAGACAAAATACATATGCGTGTATATAATCGGTCGGGTTCAGGTTAAGTATTGTATATCAAACAGTCACTTTCTTATGAAGTTGCCTATATAGTTGGGCATTCTTCTTTTACGCCATACATAATATCCAATAATCGGCAGAACGTTTCCTCCGGTAGATATATGCCGCCGGCCGCTAGCTGTTGGTGGTATATAGTACCGTCGCTGGCTGGTGCTGCCGCCTCGATCGCCGGCAGGAGCAGTATATATCGTCTTCTGTCGCATTCAGCGGCGGCCAGTGGCTTTCGTCGTAACTAACAGCGGCGGCAGCTCCTCCATTAGTGAGGAAGCTTCAGGGTAGTTAGTTGTCTACCCTATTACAAAGTCAAAAGAGGGCAAGTTTATTTATTCTTTTTTGTTTGTATGAAGTAATTTACTGTAATGAATCTTACGTCAACAAAATATTGAGAGATATTTATAATTCATAAGTAAGAAATCGAGCTTAATTGACAAGTTGTATTTTGAGATAAAATGGATGAGTTTTGTAAAATCTTTGAAGTTAAACATGTTTATTGTGGAGGAACGCAAAAATATGAGTAACCTTGACATGCATCACCAGAGTACCAAAATCGTGCAGGTCTACATCTAAAGCGAATAACATATTGCCTGGGACATGGAGATTCGGAAGCTCGCGGTTCAGACTGACTCGGTGATGACTGTCTCGCTGATACAAGAGGATCCCTCGAGCCACCCGCATCGTATGCTTTTGAAGTCCATTCGACGGTTCCTGACCCTAGAGTGGGAGGTCACTATTGGACATGTTTTTCGGGAGGGCAATTTTGTAGCTGATTTTCTGGCTTCCCGGGGTCACTCGCTTCCTGTTGGGTTACATGTGATTGACATTCCTAACCCGTGTTTGGGTTACTGGTTGTACTACGACACTAACGGGGTTCAAACCCCACGTTTGGTCATTAATTAAGGGTTGGGGTGCCCCTTAGCGCTCCGTTTCCTACAACAACAACAACAAAAAAAGCGAATAACATATTGGTTGAGGAAAGATTCTGGATGTTACATTTACATTTGTAAATAGTATGAGATATATAGTTGAACATTTTTGAATAATTTGAGTTATTGTGACCTATTGAGTTTAGGAGATGATGGTATTTGAACTTGTGTGAAAACCTCAAGTGTTCAACAAATATATTTGTCCTTCAACGAAAATACAAAAATATAATTGTCCAGAAACCTAATATTAGGAACATAAATATTTGTAACTTCAACTCTGACAACAACAGGAGGAAAATATTTAGCATCACAGGAAGACAGAATGATGCAAGAGCGCGTAATATGTTTACCATTTTGTACTGGAAATCAAATGAACATCAACTGTTGTCCAGACAGCTTAAGTAAGCTGCAACGCATCACCAGTTGCCACAATCTTTATGTGCTTAGGAATGTCTCAGCAGATTGAGCACGACGAGAAGAGTGACTGACCGTCTTTCTGCAAGGATGTCGGTTCCTTGGCGCACAACATGGCAGAAACAGTAACTAGCTGATGAAGAAGCAAAAGTTTCAGAGCAGTTAGTGACAGAGGAAAGGCCTTCCGTCATCATTATTACCAAGGGGAAAACAGTCGAGCACAATTCAGAGCATTTCGAGTGTTTTAAGGTTAAAGGAACTACCCTGCCAATGTCAAATGAAGAGTTGTATGCTACTATGATTCAGTGCACTAGGAGTACTTAATTTCAGCCTCAGTCCCTTCGTCATCATGTGATCTCGTGATTCCAGTGCCATCCCCACTTCCCCAACATATACAACTGTGTGTAAACAAAAATTGTAAGCTAGCGTATCAGGCTTCACGCTCTTACTTTGGCTTCCGGCAAATTTCCCCTTCTGTAGTACTCTTATATTATCGTTGAGTACGTAATGCAGTCTTGAAAGTACCAGTCTCGGTCATTCCATCTTAAGAAGGAAATCTAAGATCTACTGCATGTGAAGAAGCAATATGGACAGGAGTTCATACTGAAGGGTATAACAAGATTCACAATCTTTAATAAGAATATTGTAACATGCAACAATGAAACCACTGCAAATTACTTCTTAAGGATTATCCACATAAGTAACGGATTTCACACGACATAATGGTACCATGTTACAACATTCGAATTTTTATATCACAAAATGTACCAGGATAGCATATATTTGGTACTTGGTATCTACAGCAAGCATGTCCACTCAGTTTCTGAGGAGAAAATCATAATCTACACCATGTCCTGGTTTTTGCACAGCTGACCAACACAGGATGTTCTAGATAGACATAACATGAAGATCAGGCAAAAGAACACCAGAAGCGATAAACAGGTCAATGGCCAAAAGACAAACGGACCTGATCCAGTTCATTCTTAATCATCAGAAGAGCATTAGGACTACTTTTCTTCCACAATAACATGCCATCTTCTACCCAACAAACATGAAGTGGCAGTATGCGCGATGTACCTTAAGTTTCAATCCATGGCTCCCAGAAGAACTATGATCACCAAAACACATGTCGACTATCTTTGGGACTTCAAATTCACCAGTTGCAACGTCAGCTTCATTGATTCTATCGCCATTTCAATCTTCAACTTTTGAAGCCAACTTTCGAAGGTATTGATCTTCTTGAACGTATCTTTTCAAGGATAGTAACCATATTGCTTGCAGAGATTCTCCCATTCCTTCAACAGCGCACGGAAATCTTCTGGAGGTTCACCCCTAACCTAGAGAAGATAATAAATATTATTTATTATACAGACAAACCGGAAGGCATTTCCAACAAACAGTAGAAAGAAAAGCCCACTTGTATGCCTGGATGATTTAGTTGTAAGCTTTCACGTGCAGACTTACTATCAAGGGCCCATCTCTGAGGAAATATGTAACAATTTGAAAAACAGCACAGCTAAGGGTAGGGGGAAAGGAAGAAATTGAAGATGAAACAAGGAGTCAATTTAAACAGAGTATTATCACAAGGTCAACATCAGAGAGTTTATCACCCATATCTAATCATGTACCCTTTCCACCACAACCATGAAAATGATCTAATAAGACTAATTGCACGCTTTTAATTTCAACTTCTAGACACAGTTTCTCCTGGTAATGTTACTTGGTGGAGCAGAAATACCATCTGCAGCAGCAGTAGTGTCCAAGTTATCTGGTGCTGACGAGTGAAGTCCATTGGAAAAGGAGTTGTCTAGAGATGCCAATTCGGGAAGAGCTATATATAGATTGCTTGCTCGCTTATCTATTTCCAGTTTCAGCAGTGGCGGAGCCACTTGGAGAGGAGGGGGTGCTTTGCACCCCCTTGGCTTTGGAGAAAAAATTTCCGAGTAGGGGTACATACAAATTCCAACCAATGACCATTCAGTTGCAGAAAGAATTTCTTATCATTTCGATCGAGTGAGTTTTGTTATGTAATGCATTTTCGTCTTTATTTATAGTAATAAATTGTTGTCTTTTGTTTAAACTCGCTCATTTTTTTTGTAGCTCTACAACAGAGAAATTTCTTGTCTTTTGTTTAAACAAAGTTGAAAGTGAAGAAGTACCAATTGAAGTTCACTTGTTTGTTTCACAAAATCAATTCCAAGGTACTTCTGAGTTCTAATTTGTAATATTTGATGAATGGAAGTCTTGATTTGTATGTACTGAACTTATTTGTTTGACGTTGTAACCGATGTACGTGAAACTATTTTGATGTAATTGTGTGAATTTAGAGTATTGCGTTGTTGACTTTTGGTTTAATTTAAAGTTGACTTCTCTATTGTATAGGTGATTTTTTATGATATGATAAAGACACCCCCTTGGCCAATTTTCTGGCTCCGCCACTGAGTTTCAGGCACGAGAAGAAGACAGCTATTGTATGAAATTAGTTCGCAGTAGCATGCTATGAGAACCCTCCTAGGTGTAAGAAAGATCCATAATTACCATTTATTATGCTTCCATATACAGGTCTAACAACCAACTCAGTCCCAAAGAGATTTTCTTTCTGGATGAACATTATGACAGATTGAAACTTTTAGTATTTTTTATTTAGCTCCCTAGACCTGTGATTTTGGTCACTAATTGCAATTGAATCTGGATGAAGATTATGGAACTGTAGACCTGGATAAACTTGACCTAGCAGATAATGCATTGAGCTATCATTTAGCAGCCATGCTAATTGGAAAGGTAAAATGTTGATCCAGTATCAGTATCAAACAATTAGACTCTATCCACAGATAGCATAAATGTTAAAGGCCTATCATTATCAGGTCTATAACCTACCATTTTCATCTAAATTAACTGGCAGAACTTACAGGTTGATGAATTTACCTAAGAGGTTTCGGAACCTAAATGGCCTGCATTGCCCCTATAGAAGTTTGCAAACATAACCCATTTAAATTTCCTATTTCTTTTATCTTAATCTACAGATTCTCTGTTACTTAATGCTCATGCTTTGTAAATTTGCCTATCATCTTTATTAGATTATATTCCAATAATGGCTTGGAAAGCTAGATGCATTTATTCTGTGAAAAACAAATATTGGCTACCATTAGGAAAATGCTAGCCTTGAGCTGACAACATATATTTATCCACACATTATTGTAGAGGTATACAGCAAAAAGACATGATAGCAACATCTTAATGTGTCTACTAGTTTTCCCTGACCGAGTGTAGGAAACAAGTATGCCAGTCATCATTAGCTTGGACATGTACATGTTTTCACCAGAAGGGTATTACTAGTTTTAATGGAAGTTTACATGGGAAGTTGAGAACTGTCAACAAGGAGTGAACAAAGTACTGCAGCTTCCTAACAGCTGGTCCTGATCCTTACATTAAGCATCCTTCCATCTACATTGCTAAAAGAAAAAAGTAAACCTATGAAACTACTGCCTGACGAAGCAACATAATGAGCATCAAGGTACTTACCGGAAGCAGGGCTGGGAAACTACACAGTCCTCATGTCACAATAGAAGTCAAAACTTTTGATACAACCAAACCTATCTGAAATACACACAAAATGTCATTGAATAATATGACTACCAACACAAAAGCATGTTATATATATTGACTCATAACACCAATAAAAACAGAAAACCGAATTACCCTGTCAATTTCAAATGACGATTTGCATGATTCAGAGCACTATGAGTACTTAATTTCAGCCTCATTCCCTTCTTCATCATGTCATCTTGTAATTCCAATGCCTTTCCCACTTCCCCAACAATACAGCAACCGTATATCAAAAAATTGTACGCTAGGTTATCAGGCTTCACGCCCTTACTTAACATACTCCCCCACAAATCTAAGGCTTCCTTCAATTTTCCTCTTCTGCAGTACTCGTATATTATCGTAGAGTAGGTAATGCAATCAGGGAAGATACCAGCCTCAGTCATTCCATCTATAAGTTCCATAGCCTCTTCCATCTTACCTGATCTACACAAGCCTCGGATAAGAATATTGCATGAAACGGTGTTGGCTAGAAAATCTTTCATCATGATGTTGTGAAGTTCTCTAGCTTCCTCAATGTTTCCATCCCTGGCTAGATGATCCAGAAAACAGGTATATGTCACACGATTTGGAAGAGAACTGCCAGCCAACATTTCCTTGAAAAGAAGCATAGCCTTATCCATCAATCCTGCCTTGCACAAACCATTTATGAGGGCAGTGTAAGTTATTGTACTTGGAATGCATCCTTCATTGATCATTATATCCCAAAGTCCTAATGCTTCCTTAAGATTCCCTATTTTCCCATGGCCATCAATCATGCTTGTATACATTACATTGTCTGGCTTCAATCCCTGATTCCGCATATCATTTAAAAGACCCAACAACTTTTTTGTATCATGCTTCCTCATGGTTCCATCTACAAGCACAGAGTAACAGACTAGATCCATGTCAATGCCTCGATCTACCATCTCGCGAGCAGAAATTAGAGCATCGATTATTCTTCCTTCCTTGCAATAGCCTTGAAGTAGTGCACTATAACATAGCTCGTTTAACTTGTGATGCTCTCTATGAAGGCTGTCAATAAACTCCTTAGCTTCAGAAACTCTACCAGTAGAACAAAGGCCACCAATTAGAGGCCTATAGGTAAATGTATCTGGAACAAGACCCTTATTCAACATTTCATCAAATAAAACAAAAGCCTCGGTTGTGTTACCGTCTTTGCAGTGTCTTTCTATCAGGACATTGTAAGTGACCTCATTTGGCATAACATCCCAATTCACCATATCTTTGAACATACAGATAGCTTCATTCATCATATTTGCTTGACAAAAGCCGTGTATGAGTGCAGTGAACGTATAAATATTTGGAGCAATCCCCTTCCCGGTCATCTCATGGTACAATTTAAGTGCTTTGTGTACGTCTGCATTGTTGCAGAGTCCACTTATCAGTGAAGTGTAAGTTACAACAGTGGGAACCAAACCTATGTTAACCATCTCATCGAAGAAAGACCATGCTGCATTCAAGTTGCCAATCTTGCAATGACCATTGATTAGAGAATTGTATGGATAGACTGTGACTTTTATCCCTGCCTCAATCATTCTGTTAAGAGATTGAATTGCAGAATCTAGCTTCCCCCGTCGGCAATATGAATCAATCAAAATAGAATAAGTTACGTCATTTGGACATAAACCCTTCCTTCTCATGGCTTCAAAAAGAAACTCAGCTTCATTGACTTTCCCGTCTTTACAAAAGGAATTGATCAATGCGTTGTACACAAACAAACTAGGGGCTGCCCCAGCTTCCTCAACCTTATTTACCAGATCATAAGCATCCATAATCCTCCCGGTCTTCCTCAGACCCTCAACAAGACTTGAAACTGAAGCTTCACTTGGAACAAACCCGAACTCAATCATTTCATTCATTATCATTAAGCCAACATCAAATGCTTGAACTTTGCACAACCCAAGAACTAAAGTGCAATAAGTAACCACGTCAGCTCTTAGATTTTTTTGAGCCAAGCTGTTCTTAATTTCAACAGCCTCCCAAACTCTCTGGCTCTTGCAAAACCCATGAATGAGCATATTATAACCCACTATACCTACCTCAAATCTCCCCCTTTCCATCCATTGAATCATCTCCTTTGCTCTGACGAACTCCTTCAGTTCACACAAGCTTCTAATAACTGCTGTGTTGATGTAAACATCAGGTATAATTCCAGCATTCACAACCTCATCATACAAACACAGAACCGTATCAAATTGCCTAACTTTCACGAACCCATTCAGGAGCACACCCAAAGTCCTAACCTCTGGGAATAAGCCGCAGCCTTTCACCAATCTAAAAACCAAAGCAGCATCAGCCATTCTCTTGTTGGCCACATAATTCTGGATCAACAGATCGAAACCCAAACCAGAGCTAAATCTGCACAAGCGGGACGAGTCCAAGAGAGCCTCAAAAACCTGCCTTGGCTCCAACCCGCGAAGCAGCAACGTTTGCAGAAGTGAAGAAGCGGGCCAATGAAGATTAGCATTTGCCAGCGAATGAATTAGAATGCAGAAGGACAGCGCTGAATGGTCGAAATTCCTGTGCAAGCCTAGGAAATTGAAGAACCGCAAACCTAACCTGGAGTCGTCAACTGTTCGAACTAACACTTGCTCTACATGGCGACTCCTCAGTGTAGCACAGAGAGAGGGATTGCTGAAAGCTGCTCTCCAGCTTTGCTTTCCTCGTACGATCGTTTCGAGAACCCCGACGAAGTCGGCATCTCTATCTTTTTCGTCGTTATCAGGTCTGCAGGGATTGCAGGAGCAGAAGTTGCTGGTTGAGATAAAGCTCGGATTCGTAATGGTTCTTCGTCGGGGACGCCATAGCTTCATTTTCCCCGGGAGCCTGGCGGAAGGCAGAAATGTGGCGCCGGTGGTTCAGTGCAAGACGGCGGACGAATATAGATTGGGTAATTGGGGGGCAGAAAGCCCAATCGGATTGATGGGCTTCTCACCTTCTTCCTTTGGAGTTCATATTAGCCCAATGAAAAGCCCGCCCGCCCGCCAAGCAAGAAATAATTTTCCCGAACGACGGCGAGAGAATCAAAGAAACCTGTTCGCCGGAGGCGACTATTTGAAGTGGGTTGTCACTTGTCAGGTGTGTAACAAACGGGACTTAAGTGCACAGCATTCCAATATAGTCGTATAGGGAGTGAAACGTAATTGTGCATTGGGTATAAAGACCGAGTCTCGTATGCGGTCAAATCAAATCACAACGTCAAGCTTGCGGTGTAACATACCGTCTATATTTTATGCGATTTGCGATTGGTTCAAACTGAAACCGCGCCATACCACACCTGTAGTTATGGGTCTCTAGCCCTTCCCAGCATGAAGGATGCAAAAATTGGTGCTAATCGTTCATGTCGCGAACACCAAGTGTTCAAGTGGACTTCCACACTTCTGCTATAAGGTTTACAAGATAGTTCGGGTGACTACATTACGATACAGAGTAGTACTATGCTCCTGATACCGCGAGTACGAACTCGCCTCATCCAACAGCCATTGCACTCCCTGCTGGCACATGTTTTTCTTCAGATGCATATGATGTTTGTGGCGCTGCATTGTTGTGATCCCCAAAGGGGCTTCTCGTCTGTGACGCAGCATTGGTAGAGTCTATCTCCATCGCAGATGCCCGGGGAGGAGAAGCCGGCTGCACCACCACATCTGGGTAAGCCGCCTTAAATCGTGCTCTCAGCCCTTCATCTACCAGTCGTACGCCATCCAACTGATTCCCCAGCGACATCCACCTATTGAAAACCAAAGATAGAGATAAACAGATTGTGGTGAATCACTGTCGTGAGAAAATTGCCCAACAGATCGTAGATTTCTTTTATAACAGTTCTAGTCCGTTTCCATACCCTGCCTGAGTATTGTGCATGCGAGCAAACAATTCCAACTTCCTTGTCCTTGGACTTATCCTCTCCAGCAAGGAATACATCTGCAAGGATTTGTTTTTGTTAATATGCTATTTATAGGAAACAATCTCTGACTCGGCTAAAACATTGGAGCTGGATGATAAAAGGTTTAAGCAACCCAAGTGAAGCAGGATGACTTAGTGGTCATTTGACTTACAGATTTGGGTTCATTAGCAGGTAGATTTGACCGAATTTGATAGTTCGAGTGGCTATTATTGGTGGTGATTGTAGCATAGAGAGAGATTTTGCAGATATATGAATGAGAGGGTTTCGGAATATCACATTGGCCATGGTAATTTGGTCTTTCAATCCCAACTCTCACAGTCTATTACCAAATCCAGTTACTAAAAACAATCATCTGAACAATACAGTTCCATAACCCACCACCAACAATCTATTCAAAAGTTCATTAATCTTAACAATCTACTCATTTTAACAATCCATCAGCCAAGCGACCCTTTAGCCTTCTTCAAGCCAATCAATATAACTACCAATCTAGTGAAACAGACAAGCAAATAGGGAAGCAGAATAGGAAATCTGTTTGGACATACCTCATCAGGCTTTCGGCTCGTCTCTCGAACCTCGGCAACCAGAACATCAGTGTCTATATTCCTATTCACTATAGGATCCCCCTTTATTCCAACTAGACAGTGCTCCTTACTATGATTGAGCCAATGCCCTGTCCTGCCTGTCCTAATTATTCTCTGAAGTTGGTTGGTCTTTACCCAAATGATCTCCTCAACACGTTTATAACCCCATAATTCTAAACTGCAGAAGTAAGCTAAAGTCAGTTTCTACAAATTTGATTCTTCTAGTCTTTTTCTGCTCAGCCGAAGCCTCGCAAGAAGAAATAAATAAATAAATAAATAATCTATAATAACAAAAAACATATTATGATTTGAGATGAAGTCATACCATTCACGTCCGAGCTCCATTGCACGTCCAGTTACCCAAAGGAAAATCAAGCCATCAGTTTGCAGGGCAGGGACATTCAAGTTGCGCATCTCATCATCAGCCATAGTTCCATAAGGCAGTTCCATATGGATATCCCATGGCGGATCAGCCATTATCACTCCAAAAGAACCTAAAATCTCCATTTTAAATGTTCTAATGTCACAATTAATCCATTGTGGCTCCCCGAGCTCGACTTCCGAACAATATTCAGCACGCTGGGGCTTAATAGGCTTGGGGGGTGCTAGATTCCCACTGCCCATCATCATCGCTGGTGCATCAGGAGTCAGGTCAAGCTCATAGTGCACGTACTTGCATGTCTAATAAACCAAGAAGAACGATAAAGTTATAGTGCTTACAGATGTATCCTCAATCACCAATAAGAACCCGTTAAACTTAAAGTGCAGGTTGAGAACTAACCTTCATGTGCCGACAAGTGTCTAGAAATGAGCAATCTCCTTGGCTAATATCAGTATGAGGAGCAATAATTCTTCGGAAGTGGACCTGTAAAATAATTTAAGTGGCCAACTCGAGGGTATCAAGACTGATATAGTGGTGATACTGAAATAGTAGCTGGCCCATAATGCTCCAGAATGAATCTATGAACCGCACTTGATCTTTTATACAACATATGGATGCAAGAAACTCTTAACAAGTATGCACTGTAGATAATAAAAGACCAAAAGATAGTTCAAAATATTTTCCCGTTGTTCTATGACCTCATTTCCATGGATATTGAACCTACCTTTCCTTCCTGACCTACTCCTAAAAAAGAATCGACCTTCATATCCACCAAAAGTGTTACGAGAATCTTAGTTTCTAGCTAGTTATTGAGACATAGGAAACACCTAGCATAAGATTTACACTGGCTGGAAAAAAAATTCCAGCACAAAGGACGTCCAACCAAAACCATGGATTCCGCTCATCAAAAGATACTGGCTGACAGCTTCAAATAGCATGCGGACAGCTTCAAATAGCATTTAGGATAAGTTATTGGGCTTATAGCTGCAAACGCATCTGCTAGTAAAGATAGCAAGCACATAAAATCACAAAACAGGAGGCTTCACGGAGCCCACAAACAACAGAATTTCAGTGATCGTCTAACTGACCTTCTCACAAGCCATAAAGGAACCAGATTGCCGTCTACAGTCCTCTTTAGTTAAAGCTGTACAGTACTCCTTCAGTTGAGAACCACCTTTGGTTTTGAACTGCAACAAAAGACAGGACACTTCCATCATTCAGTTGACACTAATCAACTCAATGTTCTTTACTTAAAAGTTATCATTTCCACTACCAACAAGACATCTTCTGGCACCAAAACAATCAAGAAGCAAAAGGAGAAAACAATTACCTTAGCAGCCACAGCAGTTTCTTTAGCAGTAGGCCGATGGATAAGGTCCAAAAGCTCCTCGCCAGTCTTTGATTTCTGCATCTCCTTAAATGACTTCTTATTCAAGATAGCTTCCAAATCCTTCATATCATCCTCCTCCGTCCTGTGCTGCTGCTGCTGCTGCAGTGGCACAGATAGAGGCACATTACTTGGCCCGAGAGGTGGTCTCTGCATCCTCCCGCCTCTAGGAGGCATCAACATCCCTGGCCTGGGAGCCAACATTCCTCCCCTCCACAAATCACCATCACTCGAACCCCCTACTCCCATCCACCCATTATCAATTGGAGCCCGCGGCCCGAAACCCACATTGTTGTTCCCACTCTGATTATGATTCAGCTCACTAGACGAATTCAGCAACTCCATCTCCTCCTGATGTTGGGCACTCTCAGGCAGCTCCTTCATCAACATATTCCTATCAATGTTCAAAACCATGACTCTAGACTTGCCACTCACCACAAACTCCCCAAGGTCAACCCCTCGGTTCTCCTCCGCCATGGACCTCAGAGCCATCTCCACGGCGAGAATAGCACCGGACTCCCCTCCCACTTCCCTCAACGCTGCCTTCTCAGCAGCGGTGACGTTCTCGTCGTTCTCCAGCTTCCTCAGCACGGTGGAGGAATCAATCGGTTGGAAAGGAACCCTCTGCAGCAGACACTCCGCCACCATCACCCGCACGACCGACAAGGGGCTCTCCCCATCGCCTAACTTGTCATCATCATCGTCATCGTCGTCTCCTGCGTTCTGAATCCTGGAAATGGAAGCTACACCGCCCGGATCTCTGGGAACGGCGGAGTGCTGGCCGTGCCTGATTTCGATCGAGGGCCTGCTGTTACCGGCGGCGGCGGCGGCATTGGGGAGGGCGGGAGTGGGAGTGAAGGGCTTACCGTTGAATGAAGAGACGACTTGGAGGGAGAGGTCGAGGGAAGAGACGATGTCGGGGACGAGAGGTTGGAGAGAAGCCAAGAGGTCGAGTTGGGCGGAGCGTTGGGTTTGAATGCGGGATTCCAGCTCCGTCCGAAGGGTTTTCATTGTCGACGCTAAGTTGGAGTTGGGGTTGTTGTTGTTGTTGTTGCCGTCAGATTGGGACTCCATTGATTGATTCCGTTGGCTCGCCGGAGATAAGATTTCAAGAAGTTAGAAGAGGGACAAAGGGTTGAAGAAGAAGCGGTGACGGATAATTCCTCTACAGTTCTCGAGCCTTGGCTAAAAGCCTAAAACCCAAGTTGGTCAAACCACTAACAATATAGTATGCCCACCGATACAAGATCGTTTGTTTTATGGATTTGGATGATAATTGGATTTGGATACTAACTATATCATAGAGGTTTAATTTACACGCATAGTCATAACTTTTACGGTTTTGATAAATATAGCTACTTTTTGAAAAATACACTAAAATAGACATTCCGTCAAAAACTTTAACGGACTAACTACAAATGCTGACTGGACTAACGGTAGTGATTTACGTGGCATGTTTTTTTTAATTAACTAAACAATCTATCTATCTATCTATCTATCTATCTATCTATCTATACATAATATTATGGCAATTCAAAAGTAATTGTTTGCCACCTAAGCACTTGGAGAGTTCACAAATTGCCAAGGTGGACAATATTTTTACAAAAAGAAAAAATAGTTATTGATATATTTATGGAGCTATCTCTCTCTTCAATTAATATTTCATTTCCCTTTTATCTTTTTTTTGGTATTATATCAATGTACACAATAATAATAATGTATGAAAAGTGACATATATTACCTTTGTTATCTCTAACTTTTTTAATATTTAATTTTCTTTTCCAATACTTCCTTTATGTTTTTGTTTCTACTTTTGCATTGTATCGATGTACACAACAATAGACTAATGTCTTTGAGTCACACATATAACTTTTTTCTCAACCAAAAAAATATCTTATTAAAGCTCACTAAGTAAATTTTTAACTCACTTTTACAATAATTTACAAATATGTTACATTTTGATGAACAATTTATACAAACACACATACATAATAACATTTTATCGCGACAAAATAACGATGGAAATTAAAGAGAGAAAACAAAAAAGGTTTGAATAGAAACTTGACCAAGCAATAAAATCTATTTCTTAAACAAAAACCTTATTCATTCTAATTAAGTGAAAACATATGAATCATAGGTAAATAATTTACAATGTATCCTAAGTTCAAATTACTAATATCTTGCATTTTTGCTCTAGATCGTGTTAATTGAGCAAACTCTACTGAAGTTTTACGTCATATGTTAATAAATTTAATTTTCAGACTTGGAGTAATAAATTTTCAAGGATTATAAATCAAAATTTTTAAAATGACCGTGATGATTGTTGATGAACTTGACTTCATATCTTAAGATGAGACATGAGATACGTTAAAAAATGATACATGTGAAAGTTAGATGAATCTTTGCTAAACTGTATGTTAAACATCATGTGTTCATCAACCACTGACCTATGCATTAATCAAATAAAGGTTTAAAATCTATCTATCTATGGCAATTCAACAATAGTTTGTTGCCACATAAGCACTTGAAGAATTTACAAATTATCATGGTTGACACTTTTTTTACAAACACAAAAGTAAGTTAATGCTCAATTTATGTAGCTATCTCTATCTTCATTTAATGTCTTCTTTTGTTTTTATTTAATAATTCATTTGTACCTTTTGTAGTATATATTTGTAGTAGTATACTAATGTTAGGCCGACATATATCGCGATTGTTTAAACAAAAATATTTGAATAAATGTTATTAAGTAAATTTTCAGTTTACGTCATATGCTAAGTAGGTGTTAGGCCATTACCTTTTGATTTGTCGTTAGGAGAAGAAATTTTGAGTGAAGGAAAACAAACCAAATAACGCGTGTTAAATGCAGTAGAGAGTGGAAATACCCGGGTAGACGAAACTAACAATGTCCACAATTTGGTGGCGCCTGTGAGAAATGGTGCAGGAGGACAATTTAAAATTCAGCTGGCGATGTTACTATATGGGCCGTGAATTGGTGGACAAAGGTGAGGATTGGACATGGCATATCTGGTATGGATCTTCAGTAGTGGTCGTGACAAAATGTGGGAGGAGACAACTTAGCAATTGATACATATTGAGTAAATAACATTTAAATAGCTAAACCTTTCGGTTTTTTTAAATTATTAGCCAAACCTTTCAAACTATAAATGATTAGCCAAATATTTTGTATCACATCAAAATATTAACCATTTGTTTGTTATCATTAATAATTTTGTAACTCTTTTTTAATTAAAATACTAAATTGGATTATAGACCGTCACGTGTCTCTTTCAACTCATCATCATGTTGTTGAGTCAACATTGTATTTTGAATTCACATAAAAATGCTAACGGGGAGTTAACGTTTGGCTAATACTTTGTATTTTGAATTTTTTTTGAAATATTTGAATAATAAAAAGTATTTACTCTGTTATATAATATACTAAATTTGGGTCTCTTGATAGACATATGTTAACATAAGATCGTTAGGAGACTTCATGAAAATTCACATGAAAATGAGGCAAGATTAGAGAAGTTGATCATCGTAAGAGATATGATCTTTCTTAGCAAACACATGCATTTTTTTGCAATAAAACACATGCATAACTAATAATATATTTACGGAATAAAATAATTTGATAAAAATTCAATGGAGCAAGAATAGATCACCTCATTGGATAAATGAAGATGATAAGTAAGAATAACTTTTCTCTCACTTATAATGTGTCCTTCCATCCCTTATTTTCTTTTACAATTGTTCATATTTCCCTTTATTTTCTTAACATTTTACAAATCCCAGTAAAAAACAAGTATTAATTACACTTAAAAATAATTAAACTCTTTTTAATATATATGCTTATATATTGACAATAAATGTGGCAATACAGAAAAATGAATATATTAGTATAATTAATGAAATTTTTATTTCTAAACTAATACCAAACATAAATAAATTTTAGAAAACGAAGGTTCTACAAGTTGTAAAATTATACACTAACGCACCATATTAAGATCAAAATCCGTATGTGAGTATCTTGGATTGAGATTCTAAAATAATGTATAAACAACGATAATGAGTCTCAGTTAGTCCAAATTAAATTTAAAAAATTAGCAATTGATACATATTGTATAAGAGACTAAATACAAATAAGATCTTACAGTAAACTTCATGAACATCCTAAGTGTCAACTTTTAATTGGGATGTAGAAATTTATCCAATAATGAAGTATATGTACAAAGAAACTCTAACTAAGATGTCCTCATCTGAACAACATGGATTCATATAAGATAGAAAAAATTGTACATGGGACGTGGTATACCTTTGTGACATGGTTTATGATTAGAGAATTCAAACATTATAAGTGAATGTACTAAGTATTGAGAATTTTCAATATATAGACACACCACATACTCACTTATTAATACAAAATATAATATTTTTAGAAGGTCTAAAATAGTTTAAACATATAGATAAATTGAATTAATGTCAACGATAAAATGAAACTCTCCGGCCAACGAGCCGGGTAAAAAGCTAGTAAATAATAAAAGAAAAGACCCAGTGAAAATTATCCTTTTCTTTTAATTAACTGAAAACCCTACAATTTATATTTTGACCGCCGCTAAGGCTTCCCTTCCTCTTCTTCTTCATCTTCTCGCCACGGCCAATCCTCTGTCGCTGCACCCACAAGCTCTTTCCCCTTAGCCCAGCGAACAAGAAAATGCATTTCTCAACAACCCATCGGAGAATAAGGAGAAGAGAGGTGGCGGTGGTGGTCCGCAGCTGAAGAAGCTTGTCTATCTGTGAGAAGTACAAAGCAGCGACAGTGGGCAACAGGGGACTGACGGTGGTTCCTCCTCTTCTCTCCTCCTCTTGCTTGATCTGGCCTCCCCTCACCTCTTACATCTCGTCGGCGAAAATACCAGACCGAGAGATTGAAGAACCCTAATTGCCATTGAACTTCCCCTTTGAAAAATTCCAGATCCAGAAACTGTTTCGTGTATCTGTTTCTCTCCGCCATTGCTGAATCTCTAAAGTCTCCGCCATAAGATGATTTTCAGAGTCGGAGTTGCGAGCAGGTTATGAACGGCCGATTCAGATCCTCTTCTGCTTTCTTCGGTGGACAGGGATCGTTCTCCCTTCGATAGGGATTCCACGGCGACAGTGCGGCGGAACCAGGAACGACGCCCTAAACAGATTTGACCGACGAGAATCGGTACCTAAATCTGTTGCTCATCGATTATCCATTCCATAAGGAATCAAAAATCAAAGAGAGAGATAGTAGCAGAGGAATAAATCCAAGCTTTGGAGAGGGAGATGAAGCGGACGGTGTGGAGAGCAAAAGAGAAAGAGAAAAATAATAATAATAATAATAATAATAATAATAATAATAATAGTGTTTTCTAAAAAAGAAAAACTTTAATTTGATGTGGCGCCCAGTTGGCATGGCGAGTCTAGTTGGACATGTGTTGGAACTGATGTGGGAGGTGAAGTGGCATCCACATCAGCGTCTTGCTAACGGTGTTAAAGTTTTAAATGGAAATGGCTAATTTTGTCAAATGAGTTCCAATATGTGGCTACAACTGTGTATTTTTCAAAAAGTGGCTATATTTGTCAAAATCGTGAAAATTATGGCTATGCGGATGAATTAAACCTAAATTTACATAAAATTTATTGTTTGCTTACATTTTTTTAGGATAAAATTAGTAGGGCTCACGAATTTTTGTAAATCTCACATATTGATGTATAATTTGTAACATGTCATAGATCTATGGTGGGATTTTATCCATATACCCTGATGAACTTTTAAAATTTCAAAGTTACCCTCACATTTACACATTAGAAATAATTAATTAATTAACAACAAAGAAATAATATAAATATTCAATTAATTTGTAAACATGAGTTAGAATTTTTATATCTTTTCTTGTGTTCTAATTTCTTTTGACTTTTTCATGGAACGTGCAATTCTTTGTTTCCCGGTTCTAATATATGTTGCTATATGTTACTTTTGAAAATGAGGACAAATAATTGGTAACCCATATATGTTACGTTAAAAGTTGAACGAAATTTTCATGTTTATTATTATTGTCCTTATGGCAACATTATGCTTATTAATACGTATTATCATTGTTTTGTGTACATATAATAAACACGACAAACAAATAGAAAAGGATAATATTATAATTTTGGACTTTAAGTTCTAAATCTCAAACCCTTAAATCCATGATAAAATATCTCAACAAACAAAGGATTGTTACAAATTCATAAATGCCTCAAATCCTTGATAAATCTTTGGGTTTTTAAATTACAAAACCCTCATTTTTAAATCAATAAAGCAAACGAACCATAGTTTAACTGGGGAACGGCTACAGTGCTAATTGTACAATAGTTAGCACCGTTCTAACCAAGGGAAAAACTACTACTAGTTTGAATTAGTAGTGATTTAGCTTAGATGTTGTATTGATTTTATAATAATCCGTAGTGATTTCGTTATTTTTAGTAGCGTTTTTTGCTAGTTATCACGGTGCTAACCCCTATAAGGGTTAGCACCTAATCCCATCCCGTTTAACTGATATTGGACAGAAATCTGTTGAAAATATACATGTATAAAAAGATAGTAAATCACTAAATATTAATAAAATATTTTTGTCGAAATCGAGAAATGAGTGATTGATCAAAATGTTAATTTTTCGATCTACAAAACAGAATGGCGTCATTTTAGTGTAATTAACTAACATAAAGAAATAAATTTATCGGATTCAAGTATGGACATTAAGATGTCATTATCTATGGGATTCAATAGGGCTGATAATCGGTTCGGTAATAACCAGAACTGTTTAGTTGATTCTCGGTTAACCGATAAACATTACTGTACCATTTATATTAGTCGGTTAACCATAACCGTATAGTAGTTTCTCGGTTATTTTGTCAGTTAACCGGCTAACGTTAGTGATTCATCATAGTTATACCAAGCTAACCGATCGGTAGCCTAACCATTAGATGACCTCTTCATCTTTTCAATTGTGAATTTAGGTAGATCTTTTTCCATATGCATTCTTTTTTAAGTTGTTATCATTTAATAAATAATAATTTAACATAGATATCAATCCATAATCAACTAAATCCAACACAATAACACCATTCCACCGTCAAATTTGATTGAAGAAGCAGACATGAATAAAGATCCAACAACAATTACTCAACTCATAAACTCCACCAAATTACATGGAAGCTGAAATGTTATTGATTGTTGTCGAGCCACTGTGTGCAAGTCCAACTTTCTATTGTGCTTCTTCTAAAGCTCTTTCTATTGTGCAAGTCACTATTACAACTAGGGTATGCAAGAGATCTTGTAGTTCTTCAAACATCCAATTATTTTTTGTCTATGCATGCGACTCATTTAGGCCTATTATTTTTTACCCTAACTATGAAGGTGGTTATAATCAATTAGTCGGTTAACCGTTTATAGATCGGTTAGTAATTAGCTACAATGCTACATTTGGCTACCGAGAATCGACCGTTTACTGTTTAATCGGGTATCGGTGTAACCGTTTACCATCGATTCCGATTCGGTTACCGATTACACCGCTAACAAGATAAACGTTTGTCAGCCAGCCCTAGGATTCAAGTATAAGACCATCTCCCATGTATTGAGCCAAAATGGCAAAATATAGGGCTAAATTTCACTTTATAACCCCATCGAAATAAATTTCACTTTATAACCCCATGAAAAGGTATTTTTGCTCACTGCATTGAGCCAAAATGTCAAATATCCAAATTTAAGTTTTTGTCTCCATTTAAGTTTAGAGTAAATTTCATCATTTTATTTAGATGATTGGTTCATTACATCTATATAGGTAGTAATAATTAACTTTGACGAAATTTTCCATGTAATTTGAATATATTAAAATATGATGTTATGAGAAGAAGAATGGCCTTCGATTACCAAATATTCGTAAGATGGAAGGTTTTAATGAAGTTCTGGAGGGTCGTACTTTGGAAGATCTTGATTACTTGAGAAACTTTTTACATGGAACAACAATCACAAAGATGACATACATATTTATTGAAAAAATACTCGACCAAATGGTAGCTACAAAATCTTGACATAACATATATATACGTGCTCTTGTTAGAGTGTATCATTTAAAATGGTGCGGCGCAATATCATAATTTCATTTTCTTGCAAATTAAGTTAATGACAGAGTATATAAGGTGGGATTGATCGATTTTGAATCATTTTGCCAGAATTGTGAAGAATATGAAGTTGTGATATAAGATGCTGGAATGTGTGAAGAAACATTTTAGTGATGAGAAAAAAAAAAATTGCGAGGAGAACTTAAAGATTTAGAGCCGACAGACCTTTGGGAACTTGAAAAGTTGAAGGTTGCAAGCTGTTGAACAATAATGGAAGTAGGATTTTCTGTAGAGTGTTTTGTACCACACTTAGATGGTGCAATTTGAATATAAATTAGTCACAATTTGTAGCAAAAGATTATGTGGTTTGTGATGTAAATTAGTTTGATTTGTAAAATGAAATGTGATGGAAACAGAGTGTGGTTTGCCACTTTTTCAATTTGGTTTGGAGGTTGGTTTGCATAATTTGTAATAATGATTTGTATACTTTATAACATTAGTTTGTATATTTTTTATGATAGGATTTTTGTACTTATATAGTTTGGTTTGTAAGCTTTTTTTTTTTTTAACAACTTGGTTTGTAAGCTTTATGCTGTCATATTTTTCCACCTTATAGTATCATTTTGTATACTTTTACTATTTATTTTGTACGTTATATATTCCTAGCTTATATCTTTATAAAGATTCAAACGTTATTTTGTAGGTTTTTCTAAATGGTTTTTAATTATTAGAAATATTTTAGAAGCATCCATTAAAATTGCCTTCTTATTTATTAGATGATAAAAATTACCAAAATCATAGAAAAGAGAAAGACTCAAAGAAAGGTAGAGAAGGGAGAAAGAAAAAAAAAGAAAATTTAAATAACTTTTCATAATGACAAAAACATTGAATAAAAAAAATATTCTCTTATCTCACCAAAAAAAAATTCTATTATTTATATTTTTCGGTATATAAACCTTTAATCGAAGAGGAGTTTGGTCACTTAGACCATGGAACCCTTAGTTATGTGATATTCACTCATTTAGTGATATCCGTTTTAATTGCATTCTAAAATTCTAGGAATATAAGAAATGTTTATACAACAAATTTTTTTTGTAAAAAAGTATATTTTGGTTCTGCAGGGAGGAAAATTTAATTGGTGAATGCATCGTAGTCACGGAAAACATACAAGAATTTATGTACAATCGTTATAACAAAAATGCATTTACGCCATAAACAGAAAAAAACAACTATACAATGAATCACGAGGAATATGCATGCACCTAATCTGTTCCGGTTTTGTGTTCTTTTTTCTTGGTTGCTGCTTGTTCATAAACATTGAAAAAAACAAAATTAGTATTTGCTTCCAGTTGAAACAAAATCACAGCTTACCAGCATTAACAACATAACCTTACAACAAGGATACAACGAACTTCTCCAAAACTGATTCCAAGTTTCCCATAAATCCATCATCCTATATATACAGAGGATTTCGTCCTCCCTGCCACATTCAATCAGTAAAGAAAATCAATCAACCATCTGCATAAAAACAACCTCTCAAATCCCTTTCCTAGCTGCAAAAACCACAACAAAAATGGGGTTCTCAATTACACCTTTGATCATCCCACAAGCCATCTTCACAACAATCATCATGCTGCAGTTTCCACTGCTAATGAACGCTAGACAGTTGTCGTCATCATCATCGATAGCGATGGCACCTGCTTTCGCGCCTGCCCCAAGCCCGGCTGCTGCTGCTGCGACAAACTTGATCGGAGAAGTCTGCAGGAAAAGCAATATCGACGTGACAAAGTGCATCGAGACTCTGCACTCCATCCCTGATGCAGCATCAGCCTACGACGACATCCAAGCTCTGGCCGAGCTGGTCATGCAGGCCGCTAAGGAAGAGTCGAAGGCCTTGGGCACAATGTTCAGCGCGATTCAGAGCAGCAAAGACGCGAACCCAAAGTTGAAGCCGTCGCTGGAGTTGTGTGCTTTCGATTACAGTGACGCGGCTATCTTCTTCACGCCCAGAGGGTTGGGGGACGTGACGAAGAGTTTGGAAGTGCATTCCGCTTTGGACGACTCCCAGAACTGCGACAGCGAGCTGGCGAAGATCAGGAATGCTGGTGTGGTTGATGACTCGATTTCGGCTGCCATACAGAAGTGGAGGGATCTGTATGCAGTGGCCAATGGAGTCATACTGTATGCTGAAGATGCGTTCAAAGGCAGAGCTGTGGATGACCAAGGAGATGACGATTACAGCCCAGATTACTGACCTTCCCATTATCTATCATTGTTGTATTTGCGGAATTGTTTGATGTAATATGAAATGTTATCATGGAAGAGAAAAGCTTGATATATTAGAGCTAAAAGATGAATCAAGCTGCCGTTGTATGTGAACATGAAAGAACAGGCACTTCATACATTTCTATGAACAGGCTATTAACTATGGGACTAGATTTCCTTCCATTCCAAAGCAAATTTCTATAAGAAACTACAAGATTAGCCAAGAAAAAAAAAACCTCAGATCAGTTCCACTTGACAGTATTTAATGGAATTGAGGACCATCTCTGCTGCCTACCAAATTGAATCATGACAGCCGAGTTGGAGGATAGAATGAGTATACATGGGTCTGCAAGAATATATTCCAGACCAAGAGGGATGACGAGTCACTCTTAAGATGGATCCAAGTTGGGAACAATGGCAGATGACAATTCAATATGAGAAACACGAACTGCGCCAATCAACCTTTCCGGCAACTCATCCGTAGCGTTTGCCTGCACGAATTGCATCATAGCCACGAGTAGAGTTGAGCCGAACTTTAAGTTTAAAGTGGGAGGAGCAAAATTCTTTGAAATATGTATAGAGAAGTTGTAGAATACAAGACCAGTAAATGTAGAAGTGGAAAAATTGCGTGAAACAAAAGCCAATTTGTTTTGGATTTGAAGGATTAGGCCTAAAAGAGACAGCAGACAAAAATGTGTACCTGTACAAGGAAAGCCATGTCAACCACCAAGGTAGTAATAACGCCGACAACAAGCCCCAGTACTCCATTAGCAACAGTGGAAGAACCAATATCGACATCCACCTATGATCATAAACCATCACAAGAAAAACGAATCGTATCATGGTTTGGCTCGAGAGATTTTTCAGTAATATACAGAGTTCCAGACAGTCCTTACTTCAAGGTATTTTGGGCCGCGGATATAGTTGCAATCAACAGCTTTGCCCAACAAGCACGGGGTACTTCCAACACTTTGGCGTACAATCCATGAGCCCTGTGGCATAGAATTCACATATAGAAACAAATTTATGCATATTCTAAGTTCTCATATCACTTGGGAGTGTTCATGCAGTCAAACATCCAATATCAGCATATCGTTTCAATCTTTGTTTAGTTCAGGTGAAAATGGAGAGGGTGTATATCTATTGGTCAAAGATGTGCAAGATACACATGGATCTATTTAAAAGTTTACAAAAGCTCTAGCAAGCAAAACATAATTTACTGTTCAGCACATGCTGACAAGGAGAAGAAGCTACCTTGGGAACTGACGGAATAAGTTTAAACCTACTGTTGCGGAATTCATCATCACCATCAACAAACCGCTGCAACAGAGATCCAGGTACTAATGCTTTTGTCACAAAGTAAAACACCATGCTGTAATGAGTTGAACCAGGGACCTGCCGAACGATATATAAAGTTACATCAAAGACCAATATGTTTATAGAAAAAATTGACTTCATCATCCAAAACAATGACTTACTTGCAGATTGAAGACCACAGTGAAAAGTCCTTTCTCCGAAGCAACCTAAACAATAATATATCAGCAAAGGTAAAAGCCATAGTCCGTGTGGATACGAAGCTCGAAGAGGACAAGGCAACAAGAAATGCCAAATAGCACCCCGTAACTTGAAAGAACAAAGAACTCTAAGGATAGATCAGATTAACTGAATAAGATTGTGTCCCTCATGCCTGTTTTCACTCATCCTCTTGTTATTATTCCCAACTTGCTACGTTTAGAACCCCTTGAACTCTCTATGAAACCTCTATGTGACACTAGGGCCTAGGCTACTCAGTGAAAGAAGGCTCTGTTGGCCCTGCTGTAACTTCTACGAGAACATTTGGTTTGAGCTATTAGAGAAATATGGTATGAAGAAAAGAAAAAAACGGTTGAGCTTTTGGTTGATAAAAAGTACTTTTTCAAATAAGAAGTAATGTTATATGAATTAAAAGGATATCAAATAAAAAATCAAGGATTCCTTGAAAATAGCTTTCTTTTGTGTTAAAGCATATTCTTAACTGGATTGTTTAAATATTAAAATAATATAAATTAAAGGAAATATGTGTTTTGAGAGAAAACAATACAAAAATAAAGGATCATATTGTGCTTTCCAAAACAACATTTCGCACGAGCTTCAGATCAGAGCTTTTGCTTGTGTTATAAAAAGTGTTATAGAGCTTTCCTAAATCCTGATCCTAGAACATGTTTGGCCGGTCTTGTGCTTTTGGAGCAGAAAAGTTCTTGGAGAAGTCGGGCCAAACATAAAAGATGAAGAAGATGTGATATCAGGCTATAAGACTTCGGCAAATTTACCCTTTACGGTTAACAAAGGCTAGCTGGCTTTCTCCAGCAGGATCTGTTGATAAAGTATTCCTCTTTCAGTTCTATATATTTTTGTCAATACTTCCAATGGGAGAATTCAGAAGAGATGACAAAATAGACCTAGGAGAGCACCCATTGAAACATGTGCAAGTGGAAGCACTGAGAATGTGAAGAATCATACAGCGGCATACAACATTAGAAACATGTTCATTTGGTGGTGCTAAAGGTCTAGGAAAGGAAGTGACAAAGACTTCTTACTTGGGCTGCACATCCTTGACGCCTTGCGACATGATCCATTCTTTTGGTGTCTTTGAACCAATCAACAGCAACCAGATCCATTAAGTGTTTGCCTGCTGGGATCTGCATAAAATTCCCATGCAGTCGAAGAGCAATTATGACAATGTGATCTTACCAAAACAATAGAGAAATAATTACCATAGGTAACTCGCCTTAGTTTTGTCAAAACAAAAGTTTTTGCTGCGGACTCTGAAGTTGTTCCCATCAGAAACTTTCCAGCAATCACGGGCCTTTTCTCGCTCATCATAACGTAAATTACCCACAAACCAGGATAGGTCAATCTTATCTCCAGGTTCTTCTTCTGAAGCTTCATATTGAGAAATCCCTGATTAGGTGGAAATAAAGGTAACAACACAAGTGAATCGGTGAATGTAAGGACATTTCTAGCCAATAGTCACCTGTTTTCTTCACATCATTCGCCTGATTTATTAGGTAAGCCTAAGTAAAGAAGAAGAAAAATAGAAGGTCAAACGAAATTATTGAATAATAGTCATGCAGAAAATTAAGCAAACACCTCTCAGAAACCACCCAACCTCCTGCTCATCTTCAGCAATTTGAAATTCCTCATCGTCATCAGAGTATTCATCCAACATGGCTGAGTTTCTCCCAGCCGTATTTATTTGATCAAGAGAAGCAGAGCGATGATGAACAGAAGAATCTTGCAACTTTAGACTCTTCTTAGAAGAAACGGAAGCAGAGGCCATATTGACCATAACAGGTATTCTTGGTGGAGCACCTCTTTCGTCTGTTTGGGCAAACCATTCACGCAGTCCTGAAAAAGGAGATACTTGAAAAACTCGAAGTAGTAGAATGATGATATGCTCTCATACGGATTTAAATAAATTTGAGCTCCTATAGACTTATCAGCAAGTGGTATCCTTAACATGCAACAAATCAGAACCAAAAACCAAAATTGCATGAATAACTTTTTTATGAATAAAAAGTGCATGTATCGAGCACTCACATGGAAAAGACACACAAACAGGCATCAAATTAGCAAAAACAATATAACTGCCACATGAAAGTGAAGCAGCAAGCAAATCATATATTAGGTAACATGGAAAACTAGGAAATTTATAGAACTACTGTATTTGAAATGTAAATGACCTAAATATAATATGTAAGAAATTTGTCACAGGTTCGTCCTTGGACATTCTCCAACATCTCAAGCTGATGGGACGAACTAACTCTTAAAAAGGTATCTGAACCTCTATTAACAGAAAGATAATGTTTTTGACAGTTGGTATCCAACAATATTAACAATTGTTTAAGGACCTCATCCTTGGTGTGGATTTCCTATGATGGGGTGCGCAAAAGTAAGGTATAAATCTACTCACGGGATCCCTTCCAATAGCACAACTTCTACATGACCAAACTACATAATAAGCAAAACATGTAAGATACTCTTAAAGTGAAATCAGGACAAAGCAGAGGACGGCTTAATTAGTCATCAAACGATGCACACCGTCAAATCAAGTTCTGTCATTTTTCAGCTTAAAAAGCATAGAGACAATAATGCTATAGGCTGAACATCCAGTCAAATACCACAACTTGGGAGTTGATTATGGAAACAGTATTTTAATTCCGAAGCAAAGATATCCAAGGGGTAGTTTCTCTAGTTAGCTGCAAAGCACAACAATAGAATGTGGACCTACGTCAAAAATTTCTCTTGCTTACTAAATGCCAAGTTTACACGCAAAAAGAAAGCAAAAGTGCGAAATGTTATAAATTTTGAAAGCATGCAGCAACAAAGGGCATTAGCCATTTGAAATAAAGGAGTTTTCAAGTATATTTATACAAACAAGCACATACCAGCAACACTATTCAGCATCTGAAGGAGGCAGTGCTGCTGAAAAGAGGAAATATAACCCACGCCCCATCCTTTTAAATCAATCTGTATAAGATGCTGAACCTGCGATCTAGGTCGGCCATTCCTAGGTTTTAGAGGAGAAATGTTGAACCCACCACCTGTTAATAGACAAATTTAACATCACAGCAACCAAAACAATGGCCCTCAATTTATGAGTACACCAAAAAGCATTCTAACTTACTCTCAACATGAGCCCGCACATAACCTGGTTGTGGACCGCAATTCTCATGCTCTCTAGAGCGAAACAAGACAACTGAAAAAAGACAAGGCAGCAGTTTCAGAAGCCAGCCCAAACTTAGGTATGAACAAGGATTGAAATATCAACGCAACTTACCATAACTGCCATCATCATTTCGCCGCCAATATCGTACATAACAAAGGTCGCGCGGCCAGACAACCCTACAGACAGTCAACATACAAGCACCAAAGTCAGGATGAATTCTGTAGAGAACATGATGAGCATGGAGAACAACTTAAATCTACAGTGAATTTGTTTTGAATAGGCTTCAGACTAAGTAAGCAAAGCATATCCAGTTCATTCCACATGGTAGGAAAATATTCTGTCCAAGTCCTCAATATCAATAGATTTTCTACTCAACATCTCAATTCTCAACCACATGGTAGGAAAATATTGTTCACACAGGCAACCATTTGTTAACATCACATCCACTTCTCTGTACAAGTATACTACATGGTAGCTTCAAATCATCAGGCTTAACAGCTTCAGAAATTTCAGGCTAAATCATATGCAGCACTA